CTCATCTGGTTCTACCCAATAGCTAGGAAAATTTTTATCCCCTCCATTGATAAACCTTTAGTGTGTTCCTGTTGTTTATTACTGAAGTCTTTGTGTTGGCTCAATAAAGAGCATCCTCTTCTCGACCCACATGCTGAACAAAATGGCAAGGTGACAGGGTGAGAGAGGCCAAACATCACCTTCATCACTGCTAATGTGGGTTGAGGGATGTGGCTTGTGTTGGGGCCAGAAGCACCTTACCTTCCCCTAAGCAGTGTGAGACTAGGGCAGGATTCACCATGCAGGGAACAAAAAATACCGTGTGTCCCTGTAGGCAGCCTCTCAAAAAGGCAGAACAACCCTCATTATATCCCCAGTTAATTTCTTTATTTTTTTAATTTATATGTGACAGCAGAATGCATTACAAATCTTATTACACACATAGAGCACAATTTTTCATACCTCTGCTTGTATACAAAGTATATTCACAACAATTCATGTCTTCATACATGTACTTTGGATAATAATGATCATCACACTCCACCATCATTTCTAACCCCATGCCTCTTCCCTTGTCCTCCAACCTCTCTGCTCTATCTATAGTTCGTCTATTCCTCCCATGCTCCCGCTCCCTATCCCACTATGAATCAGCCTCCTTATATCAAAGAAAACATTCGGTATTAGGTTTTTGGGGATTGGCTAACTTCAATTAGCATTATCTTCTCTAACTCCACCCATTTACCTGCAAATGTCATGGTTTTGTTCTCTTTTATTGCTGAGTAATATTCCATTGTGTATATATGCCACACTGTTTTTATCCATTCATCTACTGAAGGGCATCTAGGTTGGTTCCACAGTTTAGCTATTGTGAATTATGCTGCCATAAACATTGATGTGGCTGTGTCCCTGTAGTATCTGTTTTTAAGTCCTTTGGGTATAGACTGAGGAGAGGAATTGCTGGGTCAAATGGTGGTTCCATTTCCAATTTTCCAAGAAATCTCCATACTGCTTTTCATATTGATTGCACCAATTTGCAGTCCCACCAGCAGTGTATGAGCGTACTTTTTTCCCCACATCCTTGCCAACACTTATTGTTTTGTTTGTCTTTATAATAGCTGCCATTCTGACTGGAGTGAGATGCTATCTTAGAGTGGTTTTGATTTTCATTTCTCTAATTGCTAGATATAATGAACATTTTTTCATATATTTATTGATTGATGGTATATCCTCTTCTGAGAAGTATCTGTTTAGGCCCTTGGCCCATTTATTGATTGGGTTATTTGTGGGGTTTTTTTGGTGTTTATTTTTTGAGTTCTTTATATACCCTTGAGATTAGTGCTCTATCTGATGTGTGAGGGGTAAAGATTTGTTCCCAAGATGTAGGCTCTCTATTCACCTCACACATTGTTTCTTTTGCTGAGAAGAAACTTTTTAACTTGAGTCCACCCCATATATTTGTTCTTTATTTTAATTATTTTGCCAAAGGAGTCTTATTAAGGAAGTTGGGGCCTAATACCACATGATGGATTAGGGTCTACTTTTTCTTCTATGAGAAGCAGGGTGTCTGTTTTTATTCCTAAGTTCCTGATCCATTTTGAGTGGAGTTTTGTGCATGGTGAGAGATAGGGGTTTAATTTCATTTTATTGCATATAGATTTCCAGTTTTCCCAGCACCATTTATTGAAGAGGCTATCTTTTCTCCAATGCATGTTTTTGGCACCTTTGTCTAATATAAGATGATTGTAAATTTGTAGGTTAGTCTCTGTGCCCTCTGTTTTGTACCATTGGTCTACCAGTCTGTTTTGGTGCCAATACCATGCTGTTTTTGTTACTATTGCTCTGTAGTATAGTTTAAGGGTCTGGTATAGTGATGCCACCTGCTTCACTCTTCCTGCCAAGGATTGCTTTAGCTATTCTGGGTCTCTTATTTTTCCAGACAAATTTCATGATTGCTTTTTCTATCTCTATGAGGAATGTCATTGGAATTTTGATCAGAATTGCACTAAATCTGTATAGTGCTTTTGGAGGTATGGTCATTTTGATAATATTAATTCTGCCTATCCAAGAGCAAGGTAGATTTTTCCATCTTCTAAGGTCTTCTTTGACTTCTTTCTTTAGGGTTCTATAATTTTCATTATATAGATCTTTCACCTCTTTCATTAAGTTGATGCCTAAGTATTTTATTTTATTTTTGAGGCTATTGAAAATGGGGTAGTTTTCCTCATTTCCCTTTCTGAGGATTTGTCACTGATATACAGAATGCCTTTGATTTATGGGTGTTGGTTTTATATCCTGCTACTTGACTGAATTCATTTACTAGTTCCTAGAAGTTTTCTGTGAAACTTTTAGGGTCTTCTAGGTATAGAATCATATCATCAGCAAATAGTTCCAATTTGAATTCTTCTTTTTCTATGTGTATCCCTTTAATTTCTTTTGTTTGTCTAATTGCTCTGGCCAGTATTCCAATAACTATGTTAAATAGAAGTGGTGAAAGTAGACATCCCGGTCTTGTTCCAGTTTTTAGCAGCAATGCCTTCAATTTTTCTCCATTTAGAATGATGTTGGCCTGGGGCTAAGCATAGACAGCCTTTATGATGTTGAAATATGTTCCTGTTATCCCTAGTTTTTCTAGTGTTTTGAACATAAAGGGGTGCTGTATTTTGTCAAATGCTTTTTCTATGTCTATTGAGATGATCATATGATTCTTATCTTTACTTCTATTGATGTGATGAATTACATTTATTGATTTCCGTATGTTGAGCCAAACTTGCATTGCTGGGATGAATCCCATAAGATCTTGGTACATAATCTTTTTGATGTTTTTATATTTGATTTGCCAGAATTTTATTGAGAATTTTTGTGTCTATGTTCATTAGAGATATTGGTCTGCGGTTTTCTTTTTTTGATGTGTCTTTGCCTGGTTTTGGAATCAGGGTGATATTGGCCTCATAGAATGAGTTCGGAAGTGCTCCCTCTTTTTCTATTTCATGAAATAAATTGAAGAGTATTGGTATTAGTTCTTCTTTAAACGTCTTGTAGAACTTGGCTGTGTATCCATCAGGTCCTGGGATTTTCTTGGTTGGTAGTCTTTTGATGGCGTCTGTTATTTTATCACTTGAAATTGATCTGTTTAAATTGTGCATATCATCCTGATTCAATCTGGGCAAATTATATGATTCTAGAAATTTGTCAATGTCTTCTATATTTTCTATTTTATTAGAGTACAAGTTTTCAAAATAATTTCTAATTATCTTTTGTATTTCTGTAGTGTCTGTTGTGATATTCCCTTTCTCATCATGTATGTTAGTGATTTGAATTTTCTCTCTCCTTGTCTTAACTAGCATGGCTAAGGGTCTGTCACTTTTATTTATTTTTTCAAAGAACCAACTTTTTTGAACTTTTTGTTCTGTCAATTTTTTCAATTTCATTGATTTCAGCTCCAATTTAAATTATTTCCTATCTTCTGCGGCTTTGGGTGTTGATTTGTTCTTTTTCTAGAAGAAAGTATATTCTCTCGTTGAAGGATGGAATATTCTATATATGTCAGTTAAGTCTAAGTTATTGATTGTGTTACTGAGTTCTACAGTTTCTTTGTTCAGCTTTTGTTTCGAAGATCTATCTAGTGATGAAAGAGTTGTGTTAAAGTCACCCGAAATTATTGTGTTGTGGTCTATTTGACTCTTGAACTTGAGAAGAGTTTGTTTGATGAACATAGCTGCACCATTGTTTGGGGCATATATATTTATGATTGTTATGTCTTGTTGGTGTATGGTCCCCTTGAGCAGTACGTAGTGTCCTTCTTTATCCTTTTTGATTGACTTTAGTTTGAAGCGTACTTTATTTGATATCAGGATGTAAACTCCTGCTTGCTTCCACAGTCCATGTGGGTGGTAAAATTTTCCCCAACCCTTTACCTGGATGTCTTTGGTAGTCTGCTGGTCAGGAGGGGCAGTCCTGTGCCAGAAGCTGGGCTCCATGGGTGCCTGCTGGTGGAGGGGTAGACCCAGGCCTACTGTGAGCCTGGGCCCTGCACAGGCCAATGTGGGTGGATCTGGGCTTGACCTCCTCTGGTAGTCTGCTGGTTGGAAGTGGCGGTCCTGTGCCAGAGGCTAGGCTCTGGTGGGTTCTGCCCTGCCAGTGGAGGTGCAGACCTCGGCCTACTGTGAGCCTGAGTCCTACACAGGCTGGTGTGGGCAGTCTGGGCTGCGTCTTGACTCCCACCCACTGATACAGATTTACTGGGTGTTAACTATGAGCAGGTAGGTTGTTGATGGTGGAGGCAGGTCACTGTTGATTTTCCTTTGAGGTAGGTATTTGTCCCTAGTGAGCTGAGCTCCCTCTGCTTCCTGGCTGTCACATACTGAGGTGCTTTCCTCTACCACACCCTTCTGCCATGATGTTCTACCTCACCTTGGGGCCAGAGATATGGAGTCAGTCAACCATGGACTAAACCTCTGAAATTGTGAGCCAATATAAACTTTTCCTCCTTTAAATTGTTCTTGTAAGGTATTTTGGTCACAGCGAGGAAAAGCTAATTAAAACAACATTTATACTAAGTAGAATCTTAAAATTAGACCATAAAGGCTTGTGTCAGGTCAAGTTTTGTTATTAAATAAGTGATGAAAACTTTTCTATTTTCCAAGCTCTGTTGGGGTGCAGAGTTCAGAATAAGAGATTATGGTCCCATGTAATATAAATAAAATTGAATTTTATCTGCCACCTCTCATCCTGGATGCCATTTCCACACTCTCTTTTTTTTCTTAGGCAAAGATCCAAAATCTATGAAAGCCCAGTGTCAGAAGCAGTCATCAGGTGAGGTTGTAGTGACCCCTGTCACCTCAAATCCCCCAGGTTTGTCAAAAATGTCAAATTTAGAAGTTTGAAAACTTTTGTAGAATGAGTTTTCATGCAGCGGTTCTTGACATTAAATGTTTCTTCAAACCAGGATAGAAACAAGACCATAGAATTTTTTGAAAAACATTAAATATTATCTTCTATAAGAAAACGCAATAACAAGGTACCTGTTCTTCCAGGCCAATGGCTTTCAATGCCTGTCGTCCTCTATAAGAAAGGGCCAAGTTAATGCTTCTTCCACGTGCAAAGTTAGCCACTCGGATATCTAATACATTGGAAGCAGACACCATGGTTAATTACACCATATAGGCAGAGGATGAGCATATTGTTGCACCTGAAACTATTACATTCAGAATTAAACTCAAAGACTCTTAAACTCTTCTAAAAATTACAAATAGTAAATGAGCATTATATTAAATGTAGATCACTGAGGCTTTAAAAATAATCCAACAGTTCTTATTTTTAAATTTATTTTATTAAAAACATTTTTGTATTCAGAAAAATCTAAGAAAAAAAGAGGTCAAAGAATTAGGGTCACATCTCACATTTTTCACTATTGACTTACCTTCCCTAGCTTCATATACATCAACTTGGAAATTCCTCTTTGCAAGGAAGCATGCATTTAATGATCCAACCTAGGAATCAAAACAATTTATTTTTAAAATTTTATATAATCTCACACATAGGGAATTTTTACTGGCAAAACAAAATATTGGTGTCACGATTGTTATATTGTTTCACTCAGTTACTGCTAGAGAATACTGATTGCAAAAATAGTAAGATTAATTCAAGATTTAGTGGTGTAGTATTAGATGTACTTTTTTTGTTTTTTTAAACTTTTTATAGTGAAATATAACTTTCATATGGAAAGAACATGAAACAGTGTACATTGTACACTTTATAGAATAATTGGAAAGAATTTTTTGATATTAAAATCATTACTCAGATCAAGAAGTAGAAAATTACCAGTCCCCTCTAACACCACCCCTGCCACCTCCACCCAGTTACAATACTCTTACTTAGTGTAAACATTACTCTGATTTTTTGTAATAACTATCTTTGCTTCTTCATAATTCTACCATTTATGTATATGTGACTAAGCAATATAGTTTACTTTTGCCAAATTTTGAACCATATAATTAAAATCATTCTGTATTTTTTTTGCATTTTGCTTCTTTAACACAGCATTGTATTTATGAATTCCATTCATATAATTATGTGTTAGCTTCAAATCATCCATTTTTAGTCCTCTCTGATTCTTCATTGCATGAAATATCACAGATATGATTCATCCATCCTACTCTCAGTGGATATTTGAGTTGTTTCTAGTCTGGGAATATGACTCACATGTTCAAGAGAACATTTTGGTACATGTGTTCTGTTACCTATCAGATAATTTTTCTCTAAGGTTTTATACATGGAAGTGGAATCTCTCTGCCTAAGCATTATAGGCATCTGCTAATGTAGAAGAAGCTGAGAACTTCAACAGAATTTTTGATAGACTCATGAAGCTGGAAGCCCAAAATCTGGAGTTTGGAACACACAAACTTCTGTTGAGGAGGGCAAGTTTTGAGACCACCCAACCCCCATCATTGGGTAAGGACCCAAAAGAGGAGGAGGGTAAACTGGAAAGGAACCAGTGGTCAAAGGGATCAAAGTTTGGGAATTATCCCTATTCCTGAGAGGATTCTGTTTGTCTGGGATTGCTGGTAACCACAGCCAACTAACAGAAGCAAACAAATTCTCTCTGGGGGGAAAAAATTACACCATTATAGGACTCAGATTTTCTCCTTATTTGTTTATTATACAGATTCGATCATGTCCCCTTCTGCCCCAGTCTTGCCAGACTTCTTTCAGCCACTTGTATTCACAATGCTTTCTCTCACAGGGGAATTTACCATATATTATTTCCATGATCAGAAATTCCCTTCCCTCTTGATTTCATAAGCTCCCACCCAACCTCCAGGTTTCCACTCAGTTTCACTTCCTCAGGGAAGCCTTCCTCGGCCTCTCCACCTCAGATTCCCCTCTTATGAATTATCAGAGTGCTGTGGACTTTTCCTCTGAGAAGCGTTATAAGCGAAATTGCATCCTTCCAACCTCATACACTGGAGTCCCAACCCTCAGTACCTTATTTGGAGATAAAGTATAGACAGAGATAATCAGGTTAAAATGAGACCATGAGGGTGGACCCAAATCCAGTATTACTACCACCATTCTTATAAAAGGGGGAATGTGGACTCATACAGACATGAATAGAAGAAGAAACCTAAGGAGAAGATGGCCATCTACAAGCCAAAGAAAGATACCTGGAGCAGATCCTGATGCCCTTTCCTTGGAATTCTAGCCTCCAAAATTGTTTAAAAGTACATTTGTATTCTTTAAGCCACCCTGTTTATAGTACTTAATTTTAGCAACCCTAGCAAACCAATACAAAGAGCTTGTCACAATGGAAAGTTTATGTCTTTAAAGTGAATCTATAATCAATATGTTTACCCCACTAGGCTGTATTGACGGGTTTTGCTCACCATTTTAATTCCCAGCTTCTATCATATGTTTTAAAGTAAAATTCACAACCAAACTTTATTGAGTAATTGCTATGCAAAACTTATGCTAAACTTTAGGAATCTAAAGGTTACCAAAACAAGTTCTTGTGCCCAGTGAACACTCAATTTAAGTAAAAAAGAGACAAATGTATGAACTAATGCTTAATAGCCCATTTTTGAGTATGAAAGCCCACTTTTTACATAAAAATTGAATATTTCCCAAGCTTAAATATTGAATATTTAAACTTCTAATATGGATTGTTTAAAAATGCATAATAAATCCATCACAAACTTCTAAGCACATTTTTAAAAGACTTATATATTTGAGAACTGTGATTTTATTCCATTTATTCAAAGTTTGGTGTGCATATAAGTTAACATCAGAAATTCCTTGCAAAGAACTCTTGGCTCAGTTAAAAATAAATGGGGGTAAAAAAAGCAGGCAGGCAATATACGTCCTAATGAACACACACCAAAAAAAAGTGGGGGACTAATTTTTCCTTAAGGAATATAACAGATTGTATTTTTTCAAAGATGGTCATAACAATACCTTTTATCGTCCTCTGTAATGTAACCTGACATTCCTTCATCAAGAGACAAATTATTTTTTCATTCTTTTAAATTCAGGAGGGCTCGTGAGAGCTTTAACCAATAAAATTCATTAGAGGCTGTTAGTGTAACTCAGCGATAAAGTGCTTGCCTAGCATGCACAAGGCCCTAGGTTCCATCCCCAGCAGTGCAATAAATAAATATACAAGATGCTGCAGAAGTGACACTTGAGCAAAGCATGGTGGCACATGCCTGTAATCCCAGCTACTAGGGAGCCTGAGGCAGGAGGATGGCAAATTTGAGACCAACCTGGGCAACTCAGCTAGATCCTGTCTCAAAATAAAAACTAAAAAGTGTTAGGGATATAGGTCAGTAGTAGAGTACTCCTGGGTTCAATCCTCTGTACTAGAAAAAAGAAAAGAAGAAGTGATACTTGAGTCATTTCTAAGCATAGTGTTTAGCTGGTCCGGAAGCTTCTGCTTCCTGTTTTTGGAAGCCAGTTATCACGTAAGAATAGTAAATATTGGAGGCCCAAGTCTTATGAGAAACCCAAGCCACCTGGACAGTCTATGTGTAGTTATTCCAATCAAGAGCCTCACCCACCAACTGACAGCACCAACTACTAGTGTCAAATTGGATATCCAAATTGGTGAAGCTTTACAGATGGTTGCTGCTCCAGCCATATGACAGACTACCCACAGACCTGAGGTATAATAATAGATTATCATTTTAGGCCACTAAGTTTTGTGGTTGTTTGTTGCACAGCAATAGATAACTAGAACAAGAAAACTGGAAAAAACTTTGTTGATAATGTTACTTTGGTTGATCTTTGAGAGATGAGACTCTTTTGCCATGTAGAGATGAAGCTGACAAAGAATATGAATTATTTTGGAAACTTAAAAGTGATTTTCAAGAGATAGAAAAATGATCATTTGCAAAATATTTCTTGATTCCTTAGCATTTTAAAATTCCTTTCTAGGTATTAAGGTGATGCCAACAGTAATATATAATTGCTATTCTCAGGGAGTTTAAGTCTTGTTTGAGTCTTCATTTTTTCACTTATTATTTATATATTTATTTACCACATATATATTGATTTTTTTTCCTGTGTGCCACCTCCATGCTAGGTGCTAGAGATTACAACAGAGAACAAGATACACCTAGACCTCTTAAGGAGACCACAGACTAATACCAATAGCATGATACATAGAATGATGGGGGAAATACAGCATTGAGAGTAGAGAGGGAGAATCCTTAATTCAAATTCAGGAGTATGGAGTGGGGTAAGATATGACTTATTAGAAAAATAAAAAAGGAAAGCCAAACTTAGAAACCTAGTAGGATGAGTAGCAGGGTAGCCAAATAAGGGTCAGGAGAAAGAGGGCTCTGAGAAGTACATCACATGGGTTTAAAATAACTACTAGAAAGAATGAAATAGTGAAATCTGATTAAAGAAATAATAATACCAACATATAATACTCATGAAATTATTGTAATTTACCATTCACTATTGTAACTCATTTAAACTTCACTGCAGTCTTACTAATTAAATACTATTATTATCTTATTTTGGAGATATTAAAATTGAAGCACAAAGAAATTAAGTGGCTCACCTAAGTTAGCACTAATGAGTGATAGAGTTGGCATTGAGATTCAGACATATCCAATCTGATTCCAGGCCATGACCTAATCAACTAGAGGTATAGCTGAACAGTATTGGAGATTCAGTTTAGGATAGAGACTATTACGGTTTAGATATGAGGTATTCTGCAAAAGCTCATGTGTAAGACGATGAAAGAAAGTTTAGAGGTGAAATGATTGTACTAGGTAAAAGCCTTAACCTAATCTGTGCATTAATCTCCTGATAGGAATTAACGGGGTGGTAACTGTAGGCAGTAGAGTGTGACTGGAGGAAGTGAGTCATTGGGGGCATGCCTTTGGGGTATGTATTTTGTCTGTGTGAGGGGAGTCTCTGCTTCCTGGTGTGATGTCTGAGCCATTTTCCTTCATCACAATTTTCTGCCATCATGTTCTGCCTTGCCTCAGGCCCCCAGGAATGGAGTTGGCTATCTGTGGACTGAGACTTCTGAAACCATGAGACCCCCAAATAAAATTATCTTTCTCTAACTGTTCTTTTCAGGTTTTTGGTCACAGCAGTGAAAAAGCTGACTACAAAAGAGACCATGAATTTATAAATGGCACCAAGGTGTAGGGTTGTACAATTTCTTTTTCTTGTAGCACTGACCTGGATTTTAATGCAGAGGAAGAAGACTTCTGACATCAAGTAGGAGGAGAATTAGCTAGTTGGGTCAGATGGAAGGACAATGAAGAAAAGGTGTTGAGAATATTCGCTGAATTAACGGACCATCACCACCATGCTGAATAAGACTGAAGGAAGATACAGAAGGGTCAATGAACAGTGAGAAGTAGGATGACTTTAGCAGGAACAGTTATGGTACCTGAATGAGAAAGCTAGAATGTTAGGGAGTTTTTAACCAGACAGTCTTAGATATGACATTCTTACTACAAATGTGACCATT